CACTGCTCCTTCCCCTGGGTCCCGATGCTCACACTACTTTGTGTGTGCCCTCCATGAGTGGAGCCTCTGTTTCCCCCAGTCCTGTCGAAGTCCTGCAGTCAAATCCTGCTAGCCTTCGAAGTCTGATTCTCTAGGAATTCTTCTCCCATTTCCAGACCCCCAGGTTGGGAAGCCTGACATGGGGCTCAGAGCCTTCACTCCAGTTGGTGGACTTCTGTGGTATTAAGTGTTCTCCAGTTTGTCAGTCACCCACCCAGCAGTTTTATTTTGATTGCGCCCCTCTTACCAGCTCACTGTGGCTTCTCCTTTGTCTTTGGATGTGGGGTATCTCTTTTGGTGAGTTCCAGTATCTTCCTGTCGATGATTGTTCAGCAGTTAGTTGTGATTCTGGTGCTCCCGCAAGAGGGAGTGAGTGCATGTCCTTCTACTCTTCCATCTTGAACCAATCCCCCAATCTTTTATTCTTTAAGTATTTGTTTCCCTGGCATATAGAATTCATATTGCTTTATAGTAAGTCTCATAAAATAGTAAACATTAATTCATAATTAGCAAAAGGAAAAGAAATGGTATGAATTGTTTAAATAGTTTAAGAAAATCCTAGGCAAAATAAAGTTCATGCAAAGCATGAAACAAATTATGTCACTAGTAACTGACCAACTATTTTGAAATAATTTCCAAATAGTGCTTCAGCAAATGTTCATACATGGCATGTTTAGAGACCACCTTCTTTATTATTTTAGCCATTTTTTAAAATTAAGATAATTGACATATATCATTGTATTAGTTTTAGGTGTACAATGATTTGATATATGTACATATTGCAAAATAACCACTACAATAAGTTTGGTTAACATCTATCACCATGCATAGTTGCAATTTTTTTTGTTATGATAAGAACTTTTCAGATCTACTCTCTTAGCAACTTTCAAATATACAATACAGCATTGTTCACTGTAGTCACCATGCTGTACATTACATCCCCAGGATTAATTTATCTTATAACTGTATATTTGTACCCTCTGACCACCTTCACCTTCAAAGTCATCTGTAAAGAACTGATTTTAACAAAGTGAACACATTTTGCTTACAGAGACCATTACTCTTATCAGAAAGATGTTTTCGTTTTTAAGTTAGAAAATGACATTCTGCATTATGCACAAAGTAAATATGTGCAAAGAATTAAGAACAGGTAGACACTGAGTTGAAGGGAAAGGTAACATAAATGGTTGAACATAAAGTACGAAAATATATCATTAGTTTTTATTTTAGTGTGTTTGAAAATTTTCCCCATCCTAAATAACATCAGTAAAAGCAACTCAAAGAATTGAAAGCAATGATATTAAGTCAGTGTAATGTAGGTTAGGCTTTCTAGTTGATAAGTGTCTCTAATAGCAATTGTGTTTTAATAAATAGGGCTAATTCCTGAGAATCAAATGATGCTCTTGAAATTTACATTATTAAATCTGTAGCAAGGTGAATAGCATCAAGTCAAACCTTTGTAAACACAAAGGAATGTGGAGTTTTCTGACACAGTAAGTATTTCCAAGATTAATTAAACAGTAAGTCATTGCATATCAAAATAAATCTGTTGAAAAAATAATAATGCATGTAAAATTACATTTTAACCTGATCATGTCACCCAAATATTCTAAGGATAAAATTTTTGGAATAGCAAATAATTGAACATCTTTGCTCATTTAACACACACTTTTTTCATTAGATATACTATACACCACATATGTGCTCTTCCCAGCTAATTTTAATGTTATTTCCAGAAACTCTTTGAATAGAGATCACTAAGTTATTTTTGCAACATGAGTAAAGCACTCTAAAAGGTGAATTAAATCACACATACTATTTCTTTATCACTGCACTCAGATATTTTTAAACTGTTGAAAGCAAAGGAAAAGTTTGAGAAGAGAGCATAATTGTTTACTTTGTACAGGATGAGTAAGTGTAGATAATCCTCTTTCTAAATTATGTATATAATCGATCTGCTCAATGCTGAAAGCATTCAGCAGTTTCCCCCACTATATCTGGAGCTCAATACAGAAACTCTTTCATCACTTTGAACTTTTCTTTAAATGGCTCTCAATCATATTCCAAGTCCAAATCACATATTCATGTCCTTTTCCTAAATTACTATGACCAAAAAACATTACCAATATCTCGAGTGTGTGCTTGAAATGCAGTTAATGCCTTTTTAAAAATTAGGACAAAGGACTTCCCTGGTGGCGCAGTAGTTGAGAGTCCGCCTGCCAATGCAGGGGACACAGGTTTGTGCCCCAGTCTGGGAAGATCCCACATGCCGCGGAGCGGCTGGGCCCGTGAGCCATGGCCGCTGAGCCTGCATGTCCAGAGCCTGTGCTCCGCAACGGGAGAGGCCACAACAGTGAGAGGCCCGCATACCGAAAAAAAAAAAAAAAAAAAATTAGGACAAAATATGCAAAACTTGAATGCCTTCTTCTTCAACTGGAAACATCTGGGGACATTTATGTGGAGAAAGTATTCCTCTTACTTCTTTAGAGCAATTTTGGAAATGGACTTCACAAGTGGAGATAAAACAAACTGGATTAGATTTGACTATCTCTGTGTAGTGTGACCAACTGTCCCAGTTTGCTCAGGACTAAAGGATTTCCAAAGACATGAGACTTTTAATACTAAAACTAAGAAAGTCCCAGGCAAAACAAGAGTCTGTCAACTCTTTCTCCAAGTTTCCATTCACTTTTAACATGGTTTACATCTACAAATATAGCTATGACCTCTTTTTTTCACTAATAAAATAACAATAACTGTCCAGAACCTGACAGAAAGTCTGCTGACTTTCCTGCATCCTTATCTAAACATTCAACAGAAGAGAAAAAGAATAAAGAGAGCAAAAACCCCAGGTAATTTGAAGTCATCTGAAATTCGGCCTCTGAGGAGGAAAGAAAGTCTATATAAAACCAAGACTATCTCAAAAGAGAGATTTACCCTCCTGAAATTTTCCTCCTGCCCCATCTGTATTTGGCATGTTCCCCTATTCCTCAACCTGTGGCAGTATCTCCCTGTGAATGAAAGCTTAACACAAACCAACTGACTACATCTACAAACATCTCGTCTACACTGAATTTGGCTCTCCTAGTGGGACTAAAAATCTAGGAAATGGTATGTGCATGCACTGGTCTTCTGTTTCAAGCAATCTCAGAAGCAGATTTACTTTCCATGAAGTCAGAATGTCGGCTTTGTCCTTGATGAACTCTGGCTTTAAAACTCCCATGGACACAAGGTACATCACAATATCTTCTAAACAGTGATTACATTGATTTTTATGTAAAATACAGATGACAAAACTTTTCAGAGGATGGCATCATCACCAAAACTGTATTTGAGAGCTATTTGAAAATTACTCTTGTGTTCCTTGACTTCTTCATTACTTCCAAAGCACTGATATGGGAGTTGTCACTTTACATGCTACAAAACCTGTTGCATTTATAAAATCTAATATTTTCCTTCAGTATCTCTATCCCCTCCCCAGTTTTCTTAATGAGTATCTGCTTTAACCATTTAAAATTGCCAAGCTTATCCCACACTGTTCCATATAATTGATATAATTTTCTACATATCAATCAACATCCTCCATGTCAATGTTCTCATTAGAATCCCTTCATAATGAGCATGCCACACCCATATCTAGATAATTATACATCTAGATAACTACTTCAGATTCAGGAGTTAAAAAGTCATCAGAATAAATCTGTATGTATAGCTCTGTTGTCATTTTAAAAATTCAACTCAAGTAAACAAAAAACATCTATACTGTACAAATTTAGGAAAATCATTTTGGATCATCTCTGGTTTTTGTCTGTTACAATGTCATTTATTTTGAAAAAAGTATCACTTTAATCACTTATTTACTCATTCTTTAACTAACTAATGAGTGCCCATTTCATACCAGATACTGTGTTTAGGCAGCAGAGATCATGTATTCTTAGCACTTATAAGAATTTAAGATAAAATGTTATACGTAAGGAAAATAACAAAGTCTTAGGAACGTTAAGTCACAATGAACTTAACTGGCGAGTTCTTGTTAAAGGAAATTTATAATAGCCTATATATGTGTCCTGGTCAAGTTTTATCCACCAAGTAGGCCTGAATTCCCTACCTGTGAATAGAGATACTTCTAGCCATGAGATATGTTCCAATATCCTGGATGTGTATAAAAAGGGGACTATATAATTCATCAACTAAACCAAGATACTCCTGAGAATGAAAGAGGTACTTTTAGTAATTACTTCAAAACAGCAGGACTTAATCCAGCAATGTCCCAGACAGTAGATATATGTGTGTATATATGTATATGGGTGCCTATATACGTGCATGTATATAGGACATAGAGTGCTACCACTAACACAGAACCGGTGTTCTTTACTGGCACTAGAATTCTGTTCTAACGATACTGGCACCACCATTGCTCAAAGAGATATTAACATCAGCTCAAAAGCTCTTATAACTACTGTGATCTTACACCCCAAATTTGCTAAAGCAGCTCTATTAGTAACAGGTTATCCTTTTATTGCCATAATACTTTTATAACTTAAAATATCATGTGTCCCAATTTGATTTGGTGAATGCAGTAGTAGTAAAATTAGTATCCCCTCCTTCTGTGCAGAAATAAGATAAGGTTTAAAAATTCAGATTCAAAGGGCAAAAGATCAGTTCTACTAAGATCTTCCCTGTCACTAGGGGGCAGAAGCCATTCATGTGATGAAGTAAAGATTCAAGCAATTTCTGTAAGTGGCTTGTTTCAAAGATTTTAGATTTTTTAGAAAACTGTCCAAGTAACAGAATGGGACACTTGCTATATACATCTATTTAAACTAAATTTCAAGGAAATATTTTTGGCTTAAATATAGACAATTTGCTTACATCTAAAGTTCGGGAAAACATTTTAATTAAATGTGAAAAAATATTATGTTAAACATTTTAGGAAATACAAAGGACCCGTTAAGTTTACTTACAATTGACATTAGAGTTAGTACGTAGTGCTGCAAATTCTGTCCATGATGATGAACCATTTTAGCATCAGCTGTAACCATAACTTCCACATATCTTGGATACGATAAAAAACGTTTTTTCCTGGAATGTAATTGACTTCTTTCATCTTTCAATGATATATTTTTTGAAGAGTCTCCTAAAACCGTTTCCTCCTTTATATTAAGATCTTCATTCATGTCGCTGTAGTTATGAAAGGGTAAAGTGGTTTTCTTTACTTGACTTTCTGGTGGGGGAAGAATACAACAATGTGGAGTCATTAAGTTGGAGGTGACTCAAAATACTGCACAGAATAGAATAACCAAAAATATTGAATACTTACACACCTGCTTCCATATGAAATAAAAGGACAAAAAGAAATTACTTTAAAGTGTTATACCATATTATCATAAGCATTACTACTCACAGTAATATAATGTTCACATTTTCATAGATTGCACTAACAAAACTGTATGTAAGTCTTATTTTAACAGCTATGACTATTCAAAATATATATTAACCACTGGGCAGAAAATAAAAACAAATCAAGGAGAACTTATGTTTTTTTCAGTAGGTAAATTAGGTCCTCAAGCCACTGATTGCATCTAATCTCATTACAGAGAAGTATTTTGTAGGATGAAACTTCATAAAATACAGAAAAGAAACATATTTTTTGTTATACAGCATGTGAAGAGCACCAACAGAAAATGAACCCATATAACAACAGACGGCTTTTCAAACCCAGAAAGTCAAAGGTTGATATAAATTGTATAATACTTGATTATATGAAATACCTGATTATTTTTATTACATTTCTTTATATATAAACACAGTGTTAAAACTGCTGAAACCTTAGGGATTATTATGGCAACTACTTGAAGTCCTATGCATTTATAAAAGTCACTTCTAAATTCTTATTTGTGCTAATGGAAAAAAATTCACAGGCAGCATGAGTGTTTGTCCTCTTTCCTTCTCTTTAAATTTATTCCTCTACTCTCTTTCTTATTTTTCTCTTATAATTGTTTAGTGAAACTATTTAGAACAGAAAAGTGGACCAAAGACATCAGGTAAGAAGAAATAAAAGGTCCTGAATAGCTCGTAAGGCAAATCATCAATACCACAACAATCAAGATTTAGTGGTACTATAAGGATTAGACAAAATATAAAACTATATTACAGAAATAATTCATTTCATTTAAAATTAGCAGCAATCCTATGGTTGTAAAAAAAGAAACAAAAGTCCTTGAACAATGTTTCCACAGATGAACTACTTTTTCTAATTCTTAAAACCATCCTGCCTTTTAATGTTACTATGCTCTTAAGTTTTAAAATTTATCTCAGTGGGTGATTGTGGGAATCTGGCAAACTGAATATACATTCCTAAAACTTTGTCCTGCCATATTTTTCCTAGGGTGATTCAACCACCAAAATATCCATGACGAATTATTAGACCCTGGAGAAGATCCCAGATATATCTGATGAATACAAATCTCAAATATATCAGAAAGAAGCTAAATATTCATGTTTTGTTTTATTTTTTCATCCACTTCATTCATTCAAAATAAACTTTCATTGAGTACCTACTCTATGTCACCAAACATTTAGAAACTGAGGAGCAAACAGCATCTAATAAGGCTTACACTCTCGTGGGAAGAGAAAAAATAAATGAACACATATTGAAGCACTTAAAAGTTACCTCAAATTTGTTCTTAAATAACAATTCAACCAAAAGACAAAAAAAGTGACTCAACCTTACCAAAATGGCTAAAACTTAAAAGACTGATAATACCAAGTGTTGGTACAGCCACTTTGGAAAACTATCTGGCAATTTCTAAGTTAAGTTACACATGTACCCAACGGCCCTGCAATTACACTCCTAGATACATACCTAAGAGAGGGAAAATATATGTCCACAAAACACTTGTATAAGAATGTCCATAGCATGACCAATGGAACAGAATAAAGAACCAAGAAATAAACCCTCACATATATGGTCAAATGATCTTTGACAAGGGTGCCAAGGACACTCCATGGGGAAAGAACAGGCTCCTCAACGAATGGTGTTGGAAAACTAGATATCGCCATACAGAAGAATGAAACTGGACCTTATCTTACAACATATATAAAAATTAACTCAAGGGCTTCCCTGGTGGCGCAGTGGTTGAGAGGCCGCCTGCCGATGCAGGGGACACGGGTTCGTGCCCCGGTCCGGGAAGATCCCACATGCCACAGGGTGGCTGGGCCTGTGAGCCATGGCCGCTGAGCCTGCGCGTCCAGAGCCTGTGCTCTGCAACGGGAGAGGCCACAACAGTGAGAGGCTGCATATCACAAAAAAAAAAAAAAAAATTAACTCAAATTGGATTAAGATCTAAAAGAAAGACGTAAAACTTTGAAACTCCTAAAAGAAAACAGAGGAAAAGCTTCATGACAGCTGGTTTGGCAATGATGATTTGGATGTGACACCAAAGCACAGGCAATAAATGCAAAAAATAGACAAATACGACTACAAACTTTAAAATGTATGTGCATTAAAGAACACAATCCACAGAGTGAAAATGCAACCTATTGAATGGGAGAAGATATTTGCAAATCATATCTGATAAGGAGTTAAAGCAGGTAATATACAGAAAAAAAAAAAATATATATATATATATAAACTCTTACAACTCAATAAAAATAACCTGATTTCTTAAATGGTAAAAGGACTTGAATAGACATTTTACCAAAGAGAATATAAAAATGGACAACAAGCATATAAAAAAAGATGCTCAACATCACTTATCATTAGAGAAATGCAAATCAAAACTACAAACAGATATAATTTCACACCCATTAGGATGGCAACTATTTAAAAAAAAAAAACAGAAAATAAGTGTCAATGAGGATATGGAGAAATTGGAACCTTTGTGAACTGTTGGTAAGATTATAAAATGGTGCAACCGCTATGGATAACAGTATAAAAGTACTTAAAAATTTACATATAGAACTACCATATGATCCAGCAATTCTACATCTCAGTATATATCCAAACAAATTAAAAACAGGGTCTTGAAGTAATAGTTGCACATCCATGTTCATTGCAGCATTATTCACAACAGCCAAAGGGTGGAAGCAACCCAAATATCTATTGATAGATAAATGTATAAATGAAATGTGGTATATGTATAAAATGGATTATTCATTCTTAAAAAAGGAAATTATTTCATGCTCTGACATGGACGAACCTTGAGGATAGTATGCTAACTAAAAATAAGCCAGCCACAAAAATATAAATCCTGTATGATTCCACTTACAAGGTATCTAAAATAGTCAAAATCATAGAAACAAAGTTGAATGGTTAGTTACCAGGGCCTGTCAATATCTCACTACCTGAGATAGCTCCCAAAGTCTGTCCAGCCTGAGTGCTAAGAAATCAAACATCTCACTGGCTAGTAGTAAGTTAAACAACACATTTGATGAAGCACTATGTCTTGAAGGAGTCAGACTGATAGTAAGTTAGAATAGGTGGTTCTTTGCAGGCTGAAATAATGAAAGAAACAAATAGAATTCCAAACTGGAATGAAAACACTGGATATAGTAATATAGCACAGAAAAAAGAAAGTCTCTAAAACAAAAGAATATATAAATTTTAAATTCAATTCTGGAGTAATCAATTGAAAAAGGAAAAAATAGCAAATATCAGGATCCTGTAAACATTAAGAAGACATTAGAAACAGCTTGATGCAAAAAAATTCAGAAATGTTTTCTAGAACATTTCTGAAAAAAATACATCAAAACTGACCCATAAAGAATTAGAAAGCCTAATAGCCACATAACTTTAAAAAAATTGAACTCTAATCAAAATCCAGTCTCAAAGGGCTTCACCAGTAAATATGATTAAACATTTAAAGAAGAAATAGCTCTACTTTCTCAAATACTTTTCTAAGAATTAAAAAAAAAAAAAGAGGGAGAAAGATCCCAAACATGTTTTATGAGGATTTTAAATGACGATATATCAGAATATATTCAAGATCTGGTTTTTATTTTTAAAACAGGACTCTTTAGGACACAAAAAATACTAACCATAAAGACTATTCATTTGAGTAAGTTAAGACTTTGAATTTGTGTTTACCACTATGGGAGTAGGAGAAGGTATCTGCAATAAATATAAAAGGGCTTGAGGAGTCAAGATGGCAGTGTGGAAAGACGCAGAGTTCACATCTCCCCACAATTAGGGTGCCTGCCGGATGCTGGTAGGAGACCCCGACACCCAAAGAGACAGGAAGAACCCCCAAGCAAACCGGTAGGACGTGGGGGCACTGAGCAGGGAGGAGAAGTGGAGGCCAGACAGAACTGGTGCCCCTGAGGGATGACTGAGAGGGGGGAGGGGTTCCCATGCCTGGAGGGACCCTCAGGGGCTCGGACTGGGGGGAACAGACCCAGCATCTCCCTTGCCCAATCAGCTGGGGAAGTCTGCCCGGCTCTCAGGCCTGGTTCTATGCCCTCAGAGGTCCCCTCTGGCCTGGGTTGGTCTTGGGGGCATAGAAGGGAGGACAGGAGAGAACAGGAGAGGCAGGCAGGAGGGTCCCTCCAGGACCAGAGGAGCAGGAAAGGAGTGGAGGGTGTTTGCCCCACCAAATTGGGCATGGGGAGCCTGTTGAGTTCCCAGGCCAGTCCCCCACCCTCCAAAGCCCCCTCCAGGCCACATGGGTCCTGAGAGCATAGGAGGGCAGCCAGGGAGATCAGGAGAGGCAGATGGGAGGGATCCTCCAGGACAGGAGGAGCAGGAGAGGAGCTGAGGGCATTTTCCCCACCCACTTGAGCCCAGGAAGCCTACTGGCCTCCCTGGTGGGGTCCCCCACCCTCTGAGACCAGGGGTGGGGGGCACACCTGGGCCTCTTCTGTTCCGTTGAGCCTAAGCCCCAACCCCCACACCCCAACCCACCCCGTTGAGCCTAAGCCCCAACCCCCACACCCCAACCCACCCCGCCATTTCCAGCCCTGTGGGTACTAAGCATATGCCCAAACCTCACCCCTGCTTAGGCCCTGCCCTCCACAGCCAAGGCCTTTTCAACTTTTTCATTTTCCTCCTCTTCCTTTTTACTATTGCGGTTCTGTTTTACCTTCCAGTTGTTGTTTCATCTATATTTTTATTTTTATATTTTTTCTAACATAGCTGGATAATTTTGCACCCCCGCATGGCTTGCGGGATCTTGATTTATGAGCTGGGGGTCGGGCAGAAGCTCCTGTAGTGGGAGCTCCAAGTCC